GCACCCTTGAAGATGGTGTGCTTAGCGAAGGATACATGGGTCAGAACCAATGGCACTAGGGAATTGGGGCAAAAGGGCAATTCCCGTGCCCAGCGTTCTCTACGACTCGGGAGCAGGCATACTGATATATTTTGTTCACGGGTGTCAATGACCTCCAAGGCACTGCATTTGTAAGCCTTGCTCTGCTGACCCATTCCTTGCCAGCCGATTCGTTCTTATATGGCTGGCTCTTGTAGGTATGAGTCAAGAAAAATACCCCTTCAGTGGGTTAACGTGGTCTACAATGATCTGGACCGCTGATACACGATCTGCATTGCTACCTAGCGCTAGATCGATTCGCACGCTTACTTGCCGTGAGCTGTGCCCATCAGTGGCCAAATCATTCGCCGCGAGATATCACTCCCCGCATCGTCATCACTATTTCATTGCGTTTCAGTACGTTTCGTTACGTTTCTTGCCCTGTTACGATTCCAATTACGTTTCTCCGATTTCTTTAGGCAGTGCTTCGGCATGTCTGTCTGCCTTTTCGTGAATTTTCTCTTTCAGCATAGCCTGGATGGAGCATGAAAGAACGATCTCATCCATTTCTTTTTCTTCTCTCCTCGTAACTGTTTCACTTAATTTGCAATCTTCCTAGGGATGCTGATCTATCCTTTTTTTCTTTCTTTTGGTCGAGGTAAGCCTCTCGGTCGCATGTCATGGCATGTCGTTTCTTTCGGGAGGTTCCTTGTTTTATTTACTGCATGCAGTAAATAGTAGAGTTAATAGTCAGACGATAAATGGGACAAACGTTACGGGTTGATGAGTGTATCATTTTGCCCATATTCACTAGTCAAGAAACTTCTTTGCCTGCGCCTGCCTGATCGGTCAGGCCTTGATTCCCGGATGAGAGGCGGTTTCCCAAGTACAAGCAGATAAAAGTTTCCTAGACTTCTTTTTCGGATGATTCGTACTCTTTTGAAAGTCAGCGGATAGTCGAATAGTCAAAACAAGCAAGCAGAAGCAAGTCGAAGGAATAGAAGAAGTATAAAAAAGGCCGTCACTATTTCTTTGTTATGCGCTATACCTAATCTAGTTTAGTCAGCCCCTCGCTTAAATTTCGTGTGTGGCTCTCAACTGCGGGAACTTCGACTTTGTATCGCCGACGACCTGATTTTCTAGCTTTAGGATCGCCACTTCCTTTTAACGAAACCGCAATCCGCAAACATGGCGTCGCGTTTCTTCTACGGCAGCGGCAGCGACAGCGACAGCTCGTCTGATGAGGAGGAGGAGGTCTACCGTTCCGGCTCCGGCAGCGAGGAAGATTCTGACCAGGATGACTCCGACTCCGGCTCCAGCAGCGACAGCGACGAAGAGGGCGAGGAGGGCCGCACCGGTGCCTCCAAGTTCTTGCACGATGACTCCGAAAGCGAGGAGAGCGAGGAGGAGGAGAAGGTTACAATCGTTAAGTCCGCTAAGGACAAGCGTCTCGAGGGCCTTGAGAGCACCATCCGCCTGATTGATAACGCCGAGAAGATCAACGACTGGGCTGTTATCGCCACTGGTGAGTCTATACGCTGCCTGGGAGGAGTGAAGAGCCAGCCAAATTGGACGACCCCAAGAAATCGCATGAACTGACATGATTCCCAAACAGAGTTCGACAACCTGAACCGCCAGATGTTGAAGGTTACCGGTCCCACCCCCAAGGTCTACATCCAAGCCGTTGCCGAACTCGAAGACTTCACCAACGAGACCGCTTCCAAGCAGAAGGCCTCGAATAAGAAGATGAACGCTAGCAACAGCAAGGGCTTCAACGCGGTCAAGCAGAAGATTAAGAAGAACAACAAGGAATACGCCACCCTCGTCGAGAAGTACCGCGCTGGTAAGGAAGCCTTCATGGCAGATGAGGTCGAGGAGAAGCCCGCCCCTGCTCCTGCCCCCAAGCCCACCAAGGTCGAGAGGATCGAGAACTTCGCTGCCGCCGTCGCTGCAGGTGGTGAGGATGATGGATTCGCTACTGTCGGACGTGGTGGAAAGACCCTCCAGTACACCCCTGAGAGCATCCTCAAGCACCTCCGTGTCATTGTTGAGTCCCGCGGAAAGAAGAACACCGACCGTGCCGACCAGATCCGCACCATGCAGAAGCTCCTCGAGGTTGCCACTACTCCTTACCAGCGCATCCGCACCTACATGACCCTGATCTCCACCCGCTTCGATCTTACTGCCACATCCACCGCCACCTACATGTCAAGTGAGCAATGGCAGGCCGCAAACGAGGAATACTCCGCTCTCCTTTCCGTGTTGGAAGAAAATCGCCAATTCCTTGTCAGCGAAGCCGCCGATGAGTGGGAGGACGACGAGAAGCAACCTACTGTTGCCGAGGGTGAAACCTTCTTCATTCCCGGTTCCGTTGTATCACTTGTGGAGCACCTCGACGACAGCCTCACAAAGGGTCTCCGCGAGATTGACCCTCACACCTCAGAGTACATTGAGCGTCTGACGGACGAGCAGGCACTTTACTCCTCGCTTGTTCGCTCGCAGCTTTACGTTGAAAGCCTCAAGGGTGCCGATAAGAATGGCCAGGACAGCATGAACAGACTGGTTATCAGACGGTTGGAGCACATTTACTTCAAGCCTGCTAATGTCATTGCGATTGTCGAGCAAGCGAAGGACAAGGCAGTTCCCACAAATATTGAGTCAGCAGTTACTGCTACCTATAAATCTGGGGATGTCCAGAGCCTCGTGGCCTCTATCTGCAACTACATGTTCGAACACAGTGATGGCATTCCCCGCGCTCGCGCCATGCTCTGCCAAATTTACTTCCTTGCTCTACACGACCACTACTACAAGTCTCGTGACTTGATGCTCATGTCTCACCTGACTGAAAACATCGCCACTTTCGATGTCAGCACCCAGATCCTTTTCAACCGCACCCTTGTTCAGATTGGTCTCTGTGCCTTCCGTGCTGGACTCATCTACGAGGCCCAGAACACCCTTGGTGAGATCTGTGGTAGCGGCCGCCAAAAGGAACTTCTCGCCCAGGGTATCATCATGCAGCGTTACTCCACTGTCTCGCCCGAGCAGGAACGTCTGGAACGCCAGCGCCAGCTGCCCTTCCACATGCACATCAACCTCGAGTTGCTCGAGTGCGTTTACCTCACCAGCAGTGCTTTGCTTGAGGTGCCCCTGATGGCTCAAACCTCATCTGCCCCCGAGCTGCGCCGCCGCATGATCTCCAAGACCTTCCGCCGTATGTTGGACTACAATGAGCGCCAGGTCTTCACCGGTCCCCCCGAGAACACCCGTGACGGTGTTATTGCCGGAGCCAAGGCTCTTGCCGCTGGCGACTGGAAGCTTTCTGCCTCTACATTCGCCGCGATCAAGATTTGGGACCTCATGCCCCAGCCCGAGTTGATCAAGGCCATGCTGTCCCGCCAGACCCAAGAGGAGGGTCTGCGCACCTACCTCTTCACCTACGCCCCCTACTACGACAGCCTCTCCATCTCTTCTCTGGCCACCATGTTCGAACTTGAGCCCAAGAAGATTATCTCCATTATCTCCCGCATGATCTCGCACGAAGAGCTTGCCGCTGCTCTCGACCAGGTCAACGACGCCATCATCTTCCGCAAGGGCGTCGAGCTCTCCCGTCTCCAGTCCCAGATTGTCACCCTGGCCGACAAGTCCACCAACCTTCTCGAGTCTAACGAGAAGACCCTCGAGCAGCGCACCCAGGGTATGGCCAACGCCTTCCAACGCGAACACGGTCCCGGTGCCCGTGGCGGCCGCGGTGGTCGCGGTCGTGGTGGTGGTCGTGGCGGTGCCCGGATTCCCCAGGGCGATCGCCGACCCGGTGGACAGCAGTTCGGTGGTGGTGCATTGGGCGCAGCGATCAAGGCTTAGATTCTGATGTAATGGCATGTTCTTTCTCTTTTTTCCCCCCTCTCTTCATGTTTTCCTTTTTACTCCTGTCATCCCCTTCGTGTTGGTACGACCGTTCCTTATTTTTTAGGCCGGAAAAATTGCCCCGTTTCTGCGCTTTTTTTGTGATTGATCTACATGATATTCACGTATGGAAATGATCGAGAAAGAATCAAGGTGCATACTGGTTAGAAATTGACGGCTTATGGATTAGTTCTTAGTTTTGGTGTGTGCGGTGTTTGTAGAGTTATATATGTACTGTAGGAAGTATTCGAGCCTGCTCATAGATCGTTCCTTCGAACGTACAAGTGGGCTTCTCAGAGATGAAACCTGGCGGCTTCTTTGTCACTGGTTCTTTCACACCACTAACATCTCAAATGCTTTGAATTGGAACAAAATTCCGGATTTGTCACTCTTCGCCCGTTGTTTGTAAGTCTCTCTAGCGTGTTTGAACGACCATACTTTCCTCGAGCCATTTCACAAGCTGTCGACAATATCCTTCCTTGAGGTACCATTTTCTCGGATGCTGATCAAGGCGCCATTTCACAATGGAGTTGGCGAGCGAGAAGCTCGAAAGGGCTACGCTACATCAGACTGGAACTATACCACTGGTCATCTATTACGCTTTGCTTCTTTGCCCTGCTGTGCTTTGACAAAAACGCCCGGTCCTTTTGACATCTTCTTTGATTCGAGCCTTCAATCTTGGACGTATAAGGTACATCAAGATGACACAAAGAACCTTGAAGCAACACCAGGGGCTGAATTGCGGAGTGAACACATTTCAACCTCAAGTCACTTCGATTGATGAGCTACAATCCCGAGGTCCCAGGGTTATCCTGTGGAATTCATTGTTGTCGAGCACATGAGCTTCTTGAAAGATCCAAAAATAGCACCTTCCCCTCGATCAGTTTGTCTCTATCCACACAAGATTACCTTCCTCTAATCCCTCATTCCAATTTGTCGTTTTCTTTGTCTTGTAAAATTCCACAGGATGGTTACTACAAATATCTTCTCTATATCCCACATCTCAATGCTTCTTCTTCATCCCAAGTTGCCAGGCCCTCTCCTGCAGTGCTGCAAAGTCCATCTCCTTTTTCTTCAAGATGCCCCCTCGTCGTAGTACGAAGCGGGCGTACTCAAAGCCCCCCTTGGACCCTGAGGAATCTCCGAAGAAACGCAAATCGACCAACGGTAAAAGGGAGATTTCTTCCCCTTCCTCTGATTTTTCATCAGACGAAATTGAAAGTCAATTGCCCCTCTTGCCAGAGGACTACGACTACCTTGACTACAGCATGATGTCTCAAAGTGTCCAGGATGAAGCGTATTCACGCCCTCCGAGACAACAGCGATGGAAACACAATGGGGCCAAACCTATTACCGATCCAGCGCTTGTCCCGGAAGGTTGGAATGCGGACGAACTAGATCTTGATGTCAATGATATCGATAGTCAAGTTGAGAGATGTATGGAGAGGATCAGTGAGGGAATCTTGCCGGGTTTCTTCAAGTTCAGACTTTCACAATATGAGAAAAGAAGGGCTGCTCGCGATGAAATGGTCCATTCTGAGCCGGCCGGACTCAGCTTGGATATCGTTCGACGCCTGGGCCATTTGAAGGCTATCGAGACACATCTCACCACGAATGAGGACCCGGATAATCAGCTTCCCAATGTCAAGGCTCTCATCAAAGCTTACAGGGAAGGAAAATTGGGCTGGTCGAGAGGATGGGTGAGCTACTGGTCGAAGGGCATGCAGCTCAATGCGCCCCATAAGTTTGACGTCGATGTTCATAAGAACATGGCTGAGCAGTACGACACCACTAAGGCATGGTGGGTGGAAGGTGTAAGTTGATCATCACTACATACATACGAACATTATTCTTGATTCTGACTTGAGATGTCAAATACAGCTTCAACCTCCAGGCGGTGGCAGTCTAGGAGGTTTTCACTCGTTTGCACCGTATACTAATGTCCACACAATTCAGGTATAGTGTCTATTTGGTCTCTCAGCTTATTATTTCTTCTTTCTAACTTTCATCTCTTGCCTTTCATATAGTTCCCGGTGCATATATCGGCTGATAGTCAACTTCCTGGTGCTAGTGGCCTCACCCTATACGTGTGCCATGATACTGGTGCCGATATTATGGCGATACCTCAATGCTATATAGACCAGCTGGAGTCGCTAGGTATCCCCGTTCCAGTTCACGGCTATAATATTATGGAAACACCTGGCTCTTCATCATGTCACAAGGTTGTGGAGGTTGACGTCCGTCTGACCGACAACAACGGCCAACCTTTGACCCATTGGATGAAAATACAGGCCTGTGTCATCCAATCTAGGCCCGGGGAGCACTTTGGAATGCTTCTTTCGGGGCCTTTTGTGCGGTTCGCGCTCTACACTGCTACATGCCCAGATGGGCAGGGACTTCTCTATGTTTGTAATCACAAGAAGGAGCTAAGGCAGCTGCCAGCCATGCCGGGCGACTTTGTGCCAAGGGGACCACCATTTGTGGCTACCACCCGTCCAGCTCCGGATGGTGGAGAACCACCCTACTTTTTACTACAAGAGACGCAACGCATGAGACCGGCAACAATGCAGCCGCCCCAAATTCCGCTACCAGCGAAGACACCAGCGAGGAGAGGGAGAAGAAAGGGGAAGGGAGGGGGCCCTTAGTGTCGAGTGTTCTGGGATCTGTACATGGACTCGGCTGTTTCATTTTGACTTGCTCTCTTGTTGATTAGGTTCTGCGTGTTCCTCACTTTCTTGGCTTTCATATCAGACATTTTGTTGGATTTTATACTGGATTTCGTCTTTCATTATACTTTCGTTATATATCTGCTCCAATTGAGACATAAAATCTCGCACTGAACTCCCTCAACACCTCTCTCCCCTTGGATATTGTGGAGATCCACCAGGCTTTGTAGATAACCAAGCCCTTTGAAAGGCTTTCTCTCGAAGACATCGCGGCACTCATTTCCTCAACTAGCATATCACACAGTCTTGTAGTCAGCCGGCCTTCGCCGCCTTGGGAGGGTACTTCTTCCCATCCTTCTCAACTTGAGGTGTACAGGAACACCACTCGCCTTCGGGAATTGAGTCCATCACCGAAGGGATATGGCTTCCACAGCCCCACCAGGTGACCTTGTCTGTAATAAGTAAGTACTGGTCTGTTGACACAGAGATGGGTGGAAACTCACTGCAGGTCGAGCAGGTAGCCTTCATACACATGATGAGATTGGTTTTGTATATTGGTTTTAGAAGGAAGATCGCTGAAGTGGGAATGTCGGAAGATTTGGCTTTTATATTCTTTTCCCTCCGATATTAGTCATAGCCGTTAGGACCGCGGGGGAGGGGAGTTCGCCGATGTCTGAAGCCCGAATCCCCGATGTGTGGTTTCTGGGGATTTGATTGGAGTTTGGCAATATGCTGATTAGGAGTTCGAAATAGATAAGCAGAAGCAGGTTATTCTACGAATGTTCGAATGTAGCCTTTATAATAGGAGTAGAAGTACTCCGTAAATGTTTGAAAATCTGCAGATTCTTGGTGGGGTTATCGCCCTTCCGTGGCAACTTCAACTATTTTAACTACCACACTTCTCAATCATGACGGTCATTGCTGTGGCTGGTGGAACTGGTGGAGTGGGCAAAACTATCGTTGAGAAATTGCTGGACTCCAACTTCGACATCGTCGTCCTCTCTCGCACTGTACGCAAGCAGAGACACTTTCCACCTGAGAAAGTAACTGACCTCCTCCTTAGGTGAAACGGGACTTTGCTTCGCAGAATATTCAAAATGTCCAGATAAACTACGATGATATTCCCTCAATAGCACGCGTACTTGAGAAACACAATATCCACACCATTATATCTGCCATTGGTCTTGTTTCTGACGAGACAAGCCAGTCTCAATTGAACTTGATCGAAGCTGCGGAGAAGTCGGCAACAACGAAAAGATTCATTCCCAGTGAATACTCATTCGTCCAAACCACCGAGTAGGCCGGCCAGCTTCAGCTGTATGTTATTCTATGCTGATATTGAATCTTCTAAGATTACTCCCGATTGACCCTAGCATTCAATACTGGCTTGATGCGGCAGATCGTCTCAAAGCCAGCGGCTTACAATATACTAGGATAATCCCTGGTTTTTTTATGGACTATTGGGGAATGCCACATATCCAAACTCACCTGCAACCTTTCACCTTTGGTATTGATATATCCAGCGGCACAGCTGCGATTCCAGGAGACGGGAACAACGTGATCTGTATGACATACACGTACGACATGGCGAGTTACTTGGTCAAGGCACTTGACCTTGATGAATGGCCTGAATTCAGTGTAATCGTTGGAGATGAAATTACCTACAATCAGATTCTCGGAATGGCGGAAGAATTCACCGGTAAGCATATCGGACGCCCTTATTTGAGATACACCCGCAACCTAATAATTATATCCGAAACAGGCAGGAAATTCAAGGTAACTTACGATAGCCTGGAGCAAATCAAGGCCGGTGATGTCACCGTCCCTCTGCAGCCAGAGGGAATAGAATACTCATCGGACGAACTCAAAGAAGTGACTGCGTTGGTGAGCAGACTCACTGTCAATAATGTCTTTCGACTACCGGATGATCGTCTCAATACTCGGTTCCCAGAGGTGAAGCCAACTACGATGAGACAAATCCTACACAATGCCTGGAACAGAAATAGCGCATAAGTTCATCAATACCAGCAAGCTTCAGAACTTTGATTTCATGAATGATCATTTGTAATAAAAGTGCAAACAGAAGTCAGAACTCGAAAATTATCCTCTCATTACCTCCATTGGAGAGTAGGATCAAAGCCTTCGGTGATATTATGCATTCGTTTCTTTGAACTACAATAGCAGTAATCCAGACGTCAACCCGATTGTCTAGCAGACAGGCCCGGGACGCTCGACTGCAACACAGACCTGTCGGCCTGGAATCAGATTCGAGCACCAGGGGTTAATGTCGTCGTTCCAGCACAGAAGCTGGCTCATGGTGAACCTATTCTGGTTCCGCGCGATGATGTCCCAGCAGGTCTCTCCATTACTGACAGTATAGAACTCGGTACCTGATTTTACGTCAGTCTAGCTTGAGATAGAGGGATTTGTTTTAGCTTAACTCACAATATTGTGTCAGCTGCCAGCCTTGGACGGTATTGGTGTTGACGGCGGCAGATGTGCCAAGGGAAGCAATTCCCAGAATGCATAGGAGAGATCGGACACCGATGGCAACCATTGTGGGCTTTGGAGATACGCTTGGACTTATTGACTATATGTGTCTGGAGACTAGCAATGGGACTGAAGAGTGTTGGTGATTGAATAAAGAAAACTTGAAAGGGATTACTTGTTACTTTTATATGTGGGATTTACTGAGCCGCAAAGTACTAAAGGTCGAATGTCGGGAGTGATCTTTTGCCTTGCCGGACAAGTTCATATGACTTGAGAAGTACCGTACCTGCAAAATAAGCGGGTAAGGGCATATAATCCAGCTATAGGTTGCATTTAGATTCTGTTGTTGCAACCATAGTTGCAATGAGGCGCTGAAACAATGTGAACGGCAACATCGCGAAATCAGCCAATGGGTTCAGTGGGCTGGTCTTCACCATGGCTTCGTTCTTTTCCATTGATTGATACATGTCTCGGCTTGACCGATAGAAGTACGTCCTGTTTTACGGTTACATTGTTTTCAGATATGATTCCTAAAGGGAGAGTAACCTTGGTCCAGGGAGGCCTAGTCGTTATGCAGATAATAGTGTGACAATGACCTGAGCCATAACCATTCACCGGGGGTAGAGCAAAGGTAGCGCAAACAGATACCTAAGACACAGCTGAATCGTGCGACAAGATTCAATAGTCATGGCGGTCAGTGAGCAATCATTCTATAGGCGATGCATTTAGACTTGATTATGGTTCGCGGCTATTTGCTATGGCTAGATTGGGTTGTTATACAGAGTAACACCCCGTTGCATCGCCATGGGTTTGAGCAAATAGTTCTTTGGGATAGCTGGTCCTATGACAGAATTCGGGGAAGAGGTTCGAACTATGGAATTTGACGGGCTCAAGATATTGCTGATGCAGATCAAAGTACATCGACGGAACCTATGTTAGGGAGTACAAGGTGTACAGGATCACCCAATTGAATCAAATGTTTATATCATATTATTGATGGTCTAATGGGTGGTAAAGGTTTATCACCACTCTGGTCTGATCTAACACAGTGATATCATGCCTTCTGCTCCAGTTCTCTAGTTTACCTACTGTGGCACTGATTACCTGGGGCTGCTTTTTCGAAATCTAGGAATAGCATCAGAAATTGGCTGACCAGAAGAGTGAGGTCTAGATTCATGACTCGAAAAAGAGGTTATTTCGCTATGCAGACCGATATGGGAAGTTTGAAAGTCCAAGTTTTCCAGAAAGCCAAGACGGTTCTAGGCCACTTCTTCGGCAGGCCGTTGATCCTCCCCGATGGATATTTCACAGCGAGTGCATTTAATCAGAAATTCCAATCATGCAGTTATCTGCGGCACAGGCTGTGACTCCGATGACTACCGAGGGGAAGTGTTGAAACCGATTTACTAGTTGTACATCGTATTGGCCTGAGGCATATATAATGACTCAGCATCAGTGCCTAAATGCCTAAACGCTTGAATCCCAGGAGTCAGTGGGAACCTCAGCTTACAATTCTTTATCCTGATGATTGCAGCCGATTAGGGGTTGCAAGTCTGAAGCTTTTCTTTGGTGATACTATACAATCGTTTCGTATCATGGATGGAAACACCAGCAACGTTGTACGCCTTGCCAAGGTATCGACTAGCCCCCAGATGGCCTTTATGGCCCCCATATATTGAGGGAACGACTGTGATTGGATGCTGACCTGCATACACAAACAAGGCATGCAGTATATGCAGACGGAAGAAGGTCAAATGTGATGGAATTCGGCCGGTCTGTGTCCCCTGCAGAACATTCGACTTACCTTGTAAGTACGAGGACACCGTGCGACGGAAGAAAAAACTCAACCGGTATGTTCTGCTTGGCTTGTTGATTCTAAATTAACCATATTGACTTACTCACAGTGAGGAACATTTTCATGAGCTGGAACAGCGCATTCAATCTTTACAAGACGAATTAAATCAAGCACATGCGTCCAAGAGACAGCGACTGCTGAGTGATGAGGAGACAGGCCCAGAGCATATCCAACCGTCAGAAGCGTCTGATTCAGAGTTACCATCTCCGAGAAATGACAACGCCCCAGCATCATTCGAGGCCGAGGCCGATCGAAACGATGGCGATGGAGGGTCATATACCCTTAAAACTCCGAAAGGCTCAATGCGATTTTTTGGTGAGTATTGGCTCGCCAACTATCCCTCCTCAACGGTCGCACGAATGGCTGAGCTGATTCTACCGACTATGCCTAGGTGCATCCTCTCATTTTTCAATTGTTGCCCCTGAGGGTGTGGGCTGGCTTGAGAGCAAGACGGGTAACAATGTATGGCGCCATGTCGCTCAGAGAAACAGCACTCGATGGAGACTAGCCGACTGGTATCCTCGAACTCTTCAAGATGATTTGCAAAGCAGATGCTCGCAACCCTTACCGTCCAAGGCGGTCATCCTAGACCTTATTCGTGAATATTTTGACACGTTCAACAAGGCCCTACCTCGACCCTAATGTCCCTTCTCATATTAAGCATGGTGAGTATTATCCAGAAATCTCCCTTAATTCAAACGTTCATCATCATGAAACCATATCTGACCTATGATATTTGTAGAATTTTGGATGATCAATGCCCTACCAGCTGGTCCTCGCAGTCTAAAACACAGCACGTCTCTTTGTACGATGCCAGACGATTTTGAGGCTGGATACGGTGGTGCACAAGCGGAAGCAGTCACGTTAACAGCCGATCACACTCCGGGTAAACCTAGCTGGATTACATTTTGTGCTGGGGTGTGGTCTGTGTTGCAATTTCAGACGAAAGTCTGGTATCAACCTGCACAGAAAGCAGCAGTTGTGAAAAACGGTGAATTCCTTTATAATATGATACACAACACACCAGAGCGACTCCTCGCGCATGAGTTCACCCACGGGCATACCCAATTTGGTGCTTATCGTGCAAGTAAGTACTTGACCATGCGACTTCCAACATATCGGTCTGCTAATGAATGGTTCTATAAACTGTTTTAGTGGATAAAGCGTATGGCTGGGGACCTATTGTTGCGCTTGCTAAAAAAGACAACGCTCAAACTGATGCTACCCAGTCACTGGCTGTCATAAATGCTGGTACAGTTTCTTTTCTGAAATATTGACTTGTGAATCTTGCTAATTATCTCTAGATACTTTCACATATTGGATCAATGGTAAGTTGCAGAGATCCTTATGGCTCCCCAAGACGACAGGCGCTAGATTGAACTAACCACCGACGGCTAGGTGTATACTTGGAGATGTGCAACTTCCGTAGCGGGAGGTGTGAAGACCCTGATGAAGCAGCAAAAACGCCCTAAAACTCGGACTCTTCCTGACTCACTGTGTGCAAGCAAGTCTTCCTCGGGCCTCTTCGCATGTGAGTATCTCTGCTTATTTGGTATCCCCGGGGCCCAGTTTTGATCTTAGAGCATATTCATCTCTGTGCCTATTCATTCTAACAAGCAAGCGAAGTGTTCCAGTTGTTCCAAGGTTGGAAACGTTACATGTGACTGTTGTCCCATTCACGTATCTTGATAGTAAACTTGGAACCTTTTTTCTTGGTATATAATGGAGAAAATCCGTAAAGAGAAAGACATGCAACTTCTATTACCTTATATTGATTGAATCGAATGCAGTGTTAAGACTGTAATGATAGAGCTAAATTATTCGCAGAATTATTGAGATAAATGCAAGCTGACATTTTCCTAATATCGGTAACATCCAAAAGGGCATCCCCAGGTCGGCTTCTTTTTCCTTTTGCAGTCACAGTCTAATCTAGTAAATGAGCCGCTGTCCTTCCCTATCATCTTGTCGAACCAATCCTCCATTTCTAGCTTCCATTAGTAACTACAGAGAGTAAATAGGGAGGTGCCACTAACCTTCGTCTTCCTTATACTTTATAATGCGATCGGCCGGACAGCGAGCAATTGGCCTTAACCGGGAAATCCAATCCTTTAACGAAATATTGGCTTTGCGAATATCAAAATCCACTTTGCCCCTTTGTTTATCTGTAGTGTCGATTCTTTCGAAATCATAATAATTGCCGTCACAGATAATATCTTCCAGAGAGAGTGTTTCTAGAGATAACTCGTTCCGTAAAATGTCCAAAAAGCTGGGCATAGAAGTGATCTTTTCTTCGTTGCGTTCCCATGCCATCACGGTTTCCCGGGTGGGACAGACAAAACCTCCAGCTGTTTCAGATGGCTCATATGGGTGATATGTAGACATCCACTTTCTGCTCCAATATTCTTCTGTCGACGCCTCAGAGGAATCGGAAGTCGAGGAAAGCTGGGGTGATTGGGGTGCACTTTCGGCCGATGCTGTTTCTGATGCTGGTAGGACTGATAGGGGGGCTGGTCCATATTCTTGCGGGGACACAGTCGGTGTGTACGGTGACGATGTTGAAAATGATGGCGGTGTTGGTTGAAATGACGGGACTGTAGGTCCATATGATGGCAAGGTTGGTTGAAATGACGGGACTGTAGGTCCATATGATGGCAAGGTTGGTTGATAAGATGGCACTGTGGGTCCATATGATGGCAAGGTTGGTTGGTATGGTAGCACTGTAGGTTGATATGATGGCGATGTATATCGGACAGATCTTTCATTTTCCTGGCGGTCAGGGGACTCAGCATCTTGCGATCGAGGGTTTTCTGTGGCTCCCGACTCCTCGCTGCCTATTGTAACCCGTCTGACTGTAAGAGTGACCAGACTTTTCTTAACACTGAGCAATAGTGATCTCAAAGAGCTGAAATTGATATCAAGCTTGTTTATATGAAGCTTTCGGAGTCGAGTGAAGCCAATGTCATGGAACATGTTTCCAACGTAGCCTTTTGCCGGATAGGCATGCATGTCATCTTGAATAAGATAAAAAGGCATATGATCTTGCGACAAGGTCAGTACTTCCAGTTGAGGTCCAAGCTTCCTGAAAAGTTTCAGCCAAGCTGCCTCATTGAGATCAATGCATAAATGAAGATCCTCGAGGTCTTCTAAAGTAGACAGCAGAGAATCTAATTGCTCTTCGGAGAGGGCAATCCTAGGGCCGATATCATAACAGAATTTAGAATCGCAGGTAGACAGCTTTCGGGGTCTGCAGCTTGAGCCACATAACGCAAGAAAAAGCTTTGATAATGCCAAGGAGTTTAGTTTCCGTATCTGACTAGCCTTATTGGTACGCATAGACTCTTGCAGGCTATAAACATCGAATCGAAAATCGATCTGGCTCATCATCTGTCGCCTGCCGAGGAACGGAACTGTCTGCTGCCGGGGATCAAGCAAAAATTCCGTTCTATAATGTGCAAGTCCGATTGTTTGGATGTTCTTGAATCGATCCATACATTCCCGAAGTCGATCACTGAATGCTTCTGATTCCAGCAGGTTGCGATTATCCGCAATCATATCTTTTTGGACCGTACGCCGGCTTTCCAGCTCGTCGCCTTTGACTTGCCGGCAGCTTTTTGACGATATAGATATCATACCGAGGGGCCCTTCAGCGCCATCGAATACCACAGGGATCATCCATAGCTCTTGAACGTGCTCGCGGAGACCATTTGACTTAGATAACTCTTCCAGTTCGTGGAGACTTTCGTTTGTCGCAATGAAACAGATTTTTCGGTAAAAGGTCTTCGCAAAATTCTCCAGTGAGCTTTTATACAATGCGCGGCATGATAACCTCAGAGCGACCAATTCCTGATAATCCAAATGGTCATATATCTTTGAGATCAATTCCACGGGCAAGGCTGCAATGGACATTTTGGCTGCGTGCGCGACGTTTCGAGATTGAGAACAATAATAACCAAAAAGCTCGGTTTATTATCCGCAGAAATAAGTAGGAATCGTAGAAGAATTGCTTTTCAATTTCAAGTTCCGAAATTCACGGGGAAAAAAAACATGGAGTTCAGTGACCAGGAATGGCGGACAATGGTGTCTGCCAGAATTTGCGCGAGGTAGAAAGCATTTCAAAGGAAAAGAGGAACAGGAGCAGAGGCGAGGATTGTGATTCCAAACAAGGACTAGCCCTGGAGCACTACTTAGTAAGGGATACTGCACACAAAGTAGGCAGTCCGTCCGGTACCTGGGACAGGTACTGATACCGGTTGGTCGTCCCGGTATCACCACCCAACCGAGAAATGCGCACTGCAAGTTTAATATACGCACTGCAAACACGTGAACATTTCAACATTTAGTTAGTTAGAGGTAATCAACGTACTGACATAATACATGAAAAAAAGGGCCGTCCTGTTTATCTGTCTTTGGTACAAGCCCAACTCACCTCTCTTAGCACCCATTGAACACGAAAAGCTGGAGCCACGATAGGCCTTTTAACTCTGGTACAAAGTGCCAATCTATCACACCTCCTGGCATTCAGAACGACAGCTTTCATCGCGTATTGGATCTCGGTCTACATATATCGAGTCACTCTACATCCGCTCGCGAAATTTCCTGGCCCGAAGCTTACAGGCGCGACCTTCTGGTACAAGTTCTACTACAATCTATTTCCCCACAAACTGCGCTTTCTCTGGAAAATCGAAGACCTCTATAATCAGTACGGACCAATCGTACGAATCAATCCACTCCACATCCATATCCGAGACCCGGAGTATCTTGACGACATCTACACTAGCGGACGCCGCAAGCGCAATCGCAATGAGTGGTTTTTCCATTCCTCCGTCCGATGGGATGGTCATTATTCAATATAGTCGATCATGACGTCCAGCGGGTGAGGCGCGCTACGCTTAGCCCATTCTTCAGCAAGCGGTCAATTCAAGCTCTGGAGGACCGCGTCGTAGATAAGATCGATATTTTGGTAGATCGAATCGCAGAAGCCCGTCAGACCGGAGAAACCGTGAACTTGCTCTTTGCTGCAGGTACTCTGACTATATATATAATCTCTGCTTATACATTTGGAAAAGATTGGAATAAGTTGGGTGAGCCCGACTAGGCCGAGGAGGAGCTCGAGGGCTACGCCAAGATGGCGCAGATAGGACCTTTTACTCGTCAATTCCTATAGGTAGCCAAAGCGGTCATTATATTGCTTCTACCTAAGTTAGTGACGAAGCTCAGTCCAGCTGCTACGCTTGTACTATGGAACAGAGCCCTGTTCAAGGACATGATCTAGACTGCAGTCGAAGAAGAAAAGACTAGTCAGCTTGAAAAATCTGTATCCTAGTCTATATTCCAGGATATCCTTCAGAGCAACCTACTGCCCAGTGACAAAACCCCTGCTCGCCTTTCAGCGGAGGCAGGTTTGCTTGTCATGGGGGGAACTGAAACGACCGCGAGATCTTTAGCCGTCATTTTATTCCTGCTTCTTGACACCCCGCATGTCTTAGATCGAGTAAGGAAGGAACTGGCACAGCATATGCCCCGGCCTGACTCCCGCATTTCACTTGCTGAGCTAGAAGCCATTCCTTATTTCGTGAGTTGCTGCTGACATCAGAATGATTCCCATAACGTCATATGTATTAACCAAGTCCTCTAGTCTGCTATGATCACCGAAGGCGTGAGGCTATCTCACGTTGTTTCGAGTTGTATACCAAGATACGCCCCCGAGGAAGAGCTCAAATACAAGGATTGGACGATTCCACCCGGCGTAAGATAAACAACCGGAAACTTCTTTGGCACACGTTGCTAACAAACCAATCAACACAACAGACAAGTGTTATGCAATCGCATTACCTCCTTCATACTGATCCCACAATCTTCCCAGAACCATATACATTCGAACCACAACGGTAGATTGACGACCCTTCATTAAGGGCAAACTACTTCGGCAAACTACTTCTTGGGTTTCGGCCGGGGTACCAGAGTGTGTCTCGGTATCAATCTTGCTAACGCAGAGTTGTATCTCGCAGTCGCCTATATCTGTGCCCGTTTCGATATGGAGCTATTTGAGACTGAAAGGGAGCGTGATGTGGATGTGGTCATGGATTCTGTTATTAGACAACCTAGTCTGGAGAGCAAGTGGATCAGGGTCAAGATCACAAGAGATAGACTCCAGGATGAGCAAGCTTAGAGGGTGTTAGATCGTCCAAGGCTTTGACGATATCAACGACACCGACAATTTCTTGGAGAGTACGAGAGTATCCAAATCTTACCAACATCCAACATTTGCGATAACATCCTACTGGTCCATAAATTGGGAGTTGTCCCAATCGAGCACGGATTGATATGGTCCCCACATAGCAGGCGCTTTGGAAAACGCCACGGGAAAAAAAGAGTAACATTCCACGGGATAATCTCCACAGTTCGTACTCCGCAGGTTAAGGTCAGCCAGCCTCAATCAAAACCACTAGGCTTAAATTAGCCCGAGGAAAGGCCACCAGTCTCGTTTGATTGGTTCGCTCAATGGGGCTATAGATAAATCCCACGGCCCACGGAGTTTACGACTAAGATTTTCCGGTACTTCGGTGCTCCTCTCTAACCGAGGGGGGTCCCCGAACTTGGAATAAATAACCTTTGGAATTGTATAACATTAGAAGCCTTCGGCCCTTAAATACTATTCGGTCATACTTTACAAGGATCTAGTTCAAATCAACACTTTATTTCTCAATACCTTATGAAAATTAAGAACTGGTTACAACAACCGTACAATGTCTGCCAGTCCAAGTGAAAATAGGCCACCAGTCAGAGTTGCCAATTGCTCTGGTTATCATGGTATGGGGAGCACTGAGATTAAACCAACAGGACTAACGTACAAAGGTGATCCTGCATACGAAATGTATCGGCAAGCGACTCTAGGAGATGTTGACTTCATCACGGGCGATTACCTGGCCGGTAGGTTGCTTGGTATAAAGGAAAGAGATACCAAGGACTAACTAAGCTCAGAGGTCAACATGGCAAATAATGCCCAGTCCTTCCAACGTGGCGAACACTCCGGATATGAGCAGACAGCCTGGCAGGGTATCCAGCAGACCATCAATGTGATTGCCGAAAAAGGCATCAAAGTCGTACTAAATGGAGGAGCTCTCAACCCCAAAGGGCTAGCTTTGAAAGTACACGAATTGGTTAGTACAATTCCTCAACTATACCAATCTATATACTAAATCAATCGTCCAAATAGATCCACCAAAAAGGCCTCGCTTTACGAGTAGCTTACCTATCTGGGGACGACCTCTACACCAAATTCGGCCCTAACATGCCGCAATCCCCAGAACAACTCCAACACCTCGACGCCGAAAACAGTTCCATCAAACCTAGCCCTCTCACCTATGCATTCACCAACACCACCAAGCCTATCCCTATGGTTTCAGCACACGCCTACCTCGGTGCCCGGGGAATCGTGGACGGCCTCCGTCGTGGGGCAGATATCATTATCTGTGGCCGGGTTGCAGACGCCAGTCCTGTTATTGCGGCGGCGTGGTACTGGCACTCCTGGTCGGAGTCGGACTATGACCGTCTGGCTGGGTCCCTGGTGGCGGGTCACCTTATTGAGTGCTCAGCCTATGTTACGGGCGGTAACTTCTCTGGGTTTGATCGACACCCCATTGATATGTTTGTTAAGCCGGGCTTCCCCATTGCGGAGATTGATGTCGATGGGTCTTGCGTCATTGCGAAGCATCCTGGAACCGGTGGTATCGTTGACGTTGATACTGTTCGGTGTCAATTTTTATATGAGCTTCAGGGAAATATTTACCTGAATAGTGATGTTAGTGCTGTGTTAGATGATATTGTGGTTGAACAAGTTGGAAAGGATAGGTAAGTTTCCTTCTTTTATTCATCGTTGTGTTGGTCTGCTTACTGGAGTCTAGAGTTCGTGTTCATGGAGTACGAGGCTATGCACCCCCTCCAACAACCAAGCTGGCTGTGTTTTATCCTGGTGGTTTCGAGGCCCAGCTTTTACTGAATGCTACTGGATATGGGTCTGATAAGAAGTGGGATCTGATCGAAAGACAACTCCGACATTTCATTCCGAAGGAATCCATCGATAAGATCGAGACACTTGAATTCCAAAGGTACCTTTCTCTCCTCTTTCAGCTTGAACCAGTGCTGACAGAATATCTAGAATCGGTGTTCCTGCCCCGGACCCTCGTTCACAGCGACAAAGCACGACATACCTACGGATCTTTATTGCTGCAGTCGAGGCCGATGCCGTTCTCGCTGTCGCAAGAGCAATGCAAGAAATTTCTCTCAAACATTTCTCGGGTGCGGACCAATATCTGTTATAGTAATATCCATACTCCAAGCTGACTGACCACTCAGGATTCCACTCCTCTCTCGACATGCGCACAGCAGTCCCACGTCCATTCCTAGCCTACTATCCCGCTATAGTCAAACAGGATGATCTCGACGAGGAGATCCACTTCATCGACGGACCCGATTCTATCATCTCGTTCCCAACAGGTCATCCTCCAGCATACAAAGCTCTGCAGCCACGCGTAAGCTACAACCACACCCCATCCAGCGATGAAGTCGCCCTCCTCCAATCTCCAACTCGGTCTATTCGATTGGGAGACATTGCTCTTGCCCGATCTGGTGATAAAGGATCTAATCTCAACTTTGGGATCTTTGTCCCTGACGCTACTCACTGGCCTTGGTTGCGGTCTTATATGAGCGTTGAAAGATTGCGAGAGATGCTCGTTGATGATGATGACTGGGATGAGTCCTTCTTAGTTGAGAGGGTAGAATTCCCGTACATTCATGCCGTTCACTTTGTGATTTATGGGATTCTTGGTCGGGGTGTAAGCAGCTCGAGTCGATTAGATGGGTTTGGTAAGGGGTTTGCGGATTATGTGCGGGATAAGGTTGTGGATGTGCCGGCGGAGATTTTGGATTGAGTCTTTATTCATCTTGTGGGACATATCATGGGTCTATCTATTAGTGAGATGCGGAAATTTTATCATGAAGTCTAGAAGACACATATTGGACATGCTTATCATGCTTGGACCAATGAACAATGCGCACATCGCATGAAACATCAATTGTTGAAGCATGCACGATCATTCATGCCACTGCCAGGATAGCGACAGCCCAAGGATCCATGCTTATTGAATAATTTCCCTGTCCATTGAAGACACCCGTAGTGGTGGTCTGAATTTGCACGTTGAAGGGCGTGTTGCCTTGGTACTTAGGGCCAGCAAGCATCTCAAGTTTACCAGTTTGGGTTCCTGGTATACTCACTTGGACATTCTGATGTTCGGGGCCATAGTTTGCCAGTTTCAAGTAGTATTGTGAACCTGTCTTCGAAGCCACCCAGTAAAGAGGTCCAAATCCTGTTGATGAGTGGACTGGAAGAATGGTGTCACCCTTGTTGGATGCGAACATCTTTTGCACAAAATATGAAACAGAAGGAGTGACAGAGTCGGGAGTCGAACTGAAACCGTATAGGGTGGGCTATAAGTAAAAACAGCGCGGTCAGCTATGTTTGCACTGTTCCTTTAACGTCTTCTGGGTAGATATTCTTACCGACCAAGACACAAAATCAAAGTGTTGCATCAAGGGTGCATAAGCCACCATTTTCACAATATCACTGTTGCGTTCGATTCCGATCATGTACACAGCCTCACTGCAGCTGCCCTGCATGTAGGGCCAGTATGTTCCTGTCTCTTTTGTAGTATTGCGACATCCAAACTCACCAATCATCACTGATTGATTCCGAGGCTGGTTGTCAAACTGGTCGAACAATTTCACAAAGTCATCTGGTGCTCGGTAAAGATGCAGATCAATGATGACATTTTCGGGAAGCGGAGATGGCAAACACGAATAGTCCCCGTTGGAAGCAACAAAAGTGATGTGCGGGTACTTGTCGTGGATGGCCTTGTAGATTTGATTGAAACGATCCGGATAGGTGTCACAGCCACGGGTGAGGTCATCTTCGTTACCAATTTCAATAAGGTCAACCTTCCACGGATCTTTCCGGCCGTTCTGAGCTCGCAGTTTGCCATAATGTGTCGAGGAGTCACCAAACAGATACTCCATCTCGTTCATGATGTCGTGGACAAAAGGCTCGAGGTCCGGCCCGGAGAGAATATCTCCATAAGACTTGCCTGACCACACAGCCAGGAGTGGCGCCATGTTCATGTCTTCACACCACCACAGGTACTCGTCCAGGCCGAGGGCATCTGTATTGGGGTAAAACCAGTCGCTCTCTCTTCCTGGACGGTCGACTACGGGTCCAATCGTGGTGTTCCACTTCCAGCGAGAATCAACTTCCAGGCCTTCGAGGTTGTTCCCGCCTGGGAACCGGAGAAACGCCGGATTAACTTCATCCAGAAACGATGCAAGGTTATGTCGCAACCCATTTTCTCTTCCTTTGAAAGTGGGAGGGAAGAGTTGGATTAAGCCAAAGTTCAACGAGCTACCGGCAACTTTCGATCCATCGAATGTCAAATGCCACTCATTATCCCCTTCTGGTGCGTAGGTAGTGTTGAACCTAGTTTTGAATTCCGTAAATTTCGAATGCGTACTCTTCACGGTCAAATTGTGATCGGCATATACCGAGCCATTATGCGACCCAACAAGCCGCAGGTTGATGGTTCCCGAGTATTTGCCCATCATCCAGAATGAACAGTTGTATGTGGCACCCGTAACCTGAATTCCGTTGTAACCAGAATTGGCAAATCCGACATAGTCTTTCACCCCATCCGGCACTTCGACCTTGAGCGAAGACGTAATTGCTTTGCTGACAGGCTTTGATCTATCCTGGGAGATTGTCACATCTCCCACCGGAGCGTAGGCAGTTAAACCAAGACTAGTTCCTTGAAATCCATTGTTCTGCAGCAATTGCCCGTGGATTCCACCATCGCCTTGAGATAGTTAGTAATGCTAGTGAGCAGCAAATTCGAGTTCCATACCAGAATGGTCCATTTCCTAACAACATCACGGATCAGCAACACAGTCATTCGCGCATAGAGTTAGCTCTTTTCTCACCTCGAACATAACCCCATATAGAAGTGGACTCGACTTATTCCCACCGTCCCTTGCGACTGCCAGTTTGACAGGAGCAGTTGAACTATTCCCTTTCGCCAACGCACCGGCTAGGCATGTAGCCATAGCAACAAATGTCGCGAGACCGGCGCATGACACAGATCCAGACTTCATCACGAGTCAGAGCCTATAGACAAGTATATAGCAAAGAGTTGCAGAGGAGTGAAAAGTGCCGGCAAGAATCCAAGCTCGGGAAGGTCAAGCTTTTCAAGACGCACTGCCCCTGCTTTGAAGAAAGTGCCTTGCACTGCTATGGGTGTGATTCGTTCGTTTTGGACCTGGCCTGACAGTATTCTCCACAGAAGCATCATGGACCCTGAGATGGAGCCCGCATGCAAATCAACCGGTCATAAAGCCTGGGATCTACCGACATGTAGGGAACCACAACGAGCATCTTTAAACATCCCGTTGGATCATGCTATTTATTTCTTGCACACCCCAATTTGGCAGTCTTCCTACATCGTGGCTTATGTATCTGTGTGCACTGCGCAGACAGGTGGAGAGCAGTCATGACGTCGGATAACTCCCAAGGTCGGATCGGGATGTTAGCCTGAGCAAGGCATCCGAATTTTGCCTTGGCATTTAGGCGAATAACAAGTCTTGATATTTACCAGAAAAGATATTTCGCTTGCTTTTATCAGCTCACTTCTGATAACAAACAAAAATAATGATCAAAGACGAGACTAAGTCTAAGAAGGCGGTGTCTGATCTGCCATCTCACATGTCTCTATTTCCAAATCGGGATTAGCTTTCTTCTTTCCCTATCTAAGCTTGCCTCGATTTCATCAATATTCTTCTCCGACTCTGAACCTCAGAGTGAAAGATGAAGTACATTGTGGTATCTGGAGGTGAGTTTAACAGTGATCTGCCAGAAGTGGCTCCGCCGTTAGCCTGCGGAGAAAAGCGGGGCAGACTCCATATCTCACGTTTAGCCTTTCGAGGTATAACAGACATAATAGACTGACATCTCTAGGCGTCATTTCTGGGGCAGGGAAGGGCATCGTCGCTTCGAGTGCAGGTCTGTTGCTCCAAAGCAAAGGGTTTGTCGTCAGCACCATCAAGATAGATCCCTATATCAACATCGATTCGGGGACTATGAGCCCACTCCAGTGAGTTCTGCAGATCTGAGCAGCTTCTGCGGATCCATTTATTGATTTATCTAGCCATGGAGAGATCTTTGTGACAGATGATGGGGGTGAGATAAGTCTTGACCTCGGCAACTTCGAGCGTTACCTTTCAACCACTCTCCAGCATGGTCATAACATCACAACTGGGAAGATCTATCTAGATATCATATCTAGGGAGCGAGCTGGCGATTATTTAGGCAAAACTGTTCAGGTGGTGCCCCATGTCACCAACGCCATCCAGAATTGCATCGAACGGGTAGCGAAGATACCTGTTGACGAATCCCAAGCCGAGCCCGATGTGTGTATCATTGAGCTAGGTGGTACCGTGGGGGATATCGAGAGTTCGCCCTTCATCTACGCTCTTGCTCAGCTTCGAAAGAGGGTTGGCAAAGAAAACCTCGTTCAAATTCACGTAGCTTACGTCCCTGTCGTGCCGTAAGCTCTTCTTGTTTCAGGCGAGGGCATACTGCTGGAATCTAACGCCAGGCTAGGCCGGGAGCTTCTGGTGAACAAAAGACGAAGCCGACTCAAAGATCCATTTCCGACGTTCGGAGCGCTGGATTGAGTCCACTTCTAGTATGCTCTACATCCATGTGTATCACGCACTCTAAGCTAATTGAAAAAAGGTTGCCTGCCGCTGCGAGGTGCCACTAGATCCAGGTACCATCCAAAAAATCGCGAATATGTGCTCAATGGAACCGGAACAGGTTATTTCCGTACACGACGGGCCAACTACATATCACCTACCGCTACTCCTCGAGAAGCAGAATCTTCTCAGCATCCTCTGTGAGTATCTCCAACTTCCACTTGGTCAGACACCCACCCAGCGTATCGAACAAGGCAGGCGCACGTGGAGTGACTGGGTTCACCTTGTTCAAAGCCAAGATACTATCACCGACACAGTCTCAATCGCCCTTGTCGGGAAATACACCTCCAATAAAGATGCATACCTCAGTGTTTCCAAGTCAATCGAACATGCAGCCATGTACTGTCACAAGAAAGTCAAGATTGTATGGATTGACTCCGCGCATCTCGAGCAGGAGACCTATCAGAACTCTGCAGTCAAGTATCACAAAGCCTGGCATGATCTCTGTAGCGCCAAGGGCATTGTTGTGCCTGGTGGTTTTGGTACTCGCGCTACCGGCGGGATGATCAAGGCAATCACATGGGCGCGGGTTAATAAAAAGCCCTTCCTGGGCGTATGCCTCGGCATGCAACTCACAGTGGTTGAATATGCCCGTCATGTGATGGGTATCTCGGACGCTGGGAGCCAAGAGCTCCACCCAGAATCCAAGAACCATGTGATCATTCATATGCCTGAACGCAATCAAGAGAATGGCCGTGACACCATGCGTCTGGGCAAGCATCCATGCATCTTCAAGGAGGGTACTGAGTGGTCAAAGCTACGATCGTTGTATGGCCCCACGATTTCTCAAATTGAGGAGCGTCACCGGAACCAGTACGAAGTGAACCCGGAAATTGTTGAGGAACTTGAGAAAGCCGGTCTTGCTGTTGTTGGCAAAGATGCTACCGGCAAGCGTATCGAGATTGTTGAGATTCGCGATCATCCCTTTTTCGTTGGTGTACAATTCCACCCTGAATACTTGAGCCGTGTGTTGCGGCCGAGCAAGGTGTTTCTCGGCTTCTTCGCTGCGGCGGCTAAGTGCTTGGAGAAAATACCTATGGCATTGCAACAGGGCCGGCGAAGCCTTGCGGAAGAAGATGAAGAAGCGATGGGCAACTTTTGAAGCTCTTAGCGTCATCTCATTGGTTGGTCTTGTTCTTAGCGCCGGCGTTTTAAGTTGCATTGACAACTAAGGAATCGGATAATTTCAATTAGAAATCAATACTTTCATTGTTTTACTTTTTCGACGAACATTTATAATAGGAATTAGAACCTGCAAATTCAGATAGTCGTGCAGTTCCAATGTTTTTTTTCCTGACAACTACATAAAAGCTTCTCAGTCTATACCACAACATAATTTCACTCACATAGAATTGCAAAGATAACCAACTTTCCGAACAAAGCAGCATGAATTACTGCAGCAAAGATAAAACCTCTCAAAGTAGGACCACCTGCAGAAAATGAAGTCGTTATGAAAGTCGCCTACACCGCCGTTAACTCCGTGGATGGAAGGCAAGATCTTGCCAACTTTCAGGCATTTATTCTAGGGTGTTGTTAGATGTATTATTCTAACCAGATTTTAGCTACAAGTATAAACATGCATATGAACTCTGTAGTAAAGGTGGATAGCACTATGACTGACTTTGTTTGAGCTTTACATGAGAAAATAGAAGCAAATTCTACTGAGTAGAGCAATATTATTATGTGATTGATGTATTTGAGAACTTGAGCCGATCTAGAAGGTAAGCAGTTCTTCCATGGCCATGTCGTCAATTTATTTCATGCAAGAGAAAGCCCGGAATGCAAGTTGAGAAAGCCAAGCGAGGAGAAGGGAAACAAACACAATCATAACCAGAATCCGAAGAGGGATGGAGATGCACGTGGACAGTGAAGTTCACGACAAGACTCAACAAGGTAGACTACCAGGTTGACATTGACACCGAGGATGATGAATAAGAAGAAGAAAGAAGTGGGTGTATAATGCATATGGTGGATAAGGATAATGTGTACAGAGAATGTAGAAGAAAGGTCCAAGCCTAGGTTTTAGGTCAGATCAAAACCAAGACAGAACGAAAGTCCTGCCCTGAAAGGCTGGAAAGAAAAGGCTTTGCCAAATTGGACCAAAGAAGGTGGTGAGGCCGGGTAGGAGGGAGGGAAGGTGTCACATGTCGGAGGGGCTGCGTTACAAGGCCAAGACAATCGGCTTAATTCGTCGCCCGCTTCCAGAACTTCCAGCCCTCTCTCCTCTCCTCTACTCCGACGCCAACAAGACGCTCAATACCTTCAGGGCCCTCGGCATTTTCGAACTTCTGTTGATCGATCTCTTCACCTCCCTCTTCGTCCGATCCATTACGTAGGACGGCCGGGTAGAGAACACCGACACCGTCACCGCCGAGGGTAACCTCATACGTAGTGAAACCCTCCTCCTCAAACCTCCGTTCGAGATCCTGCTTGACTTCGGCCTTCGCGTTGGGCCGGAGGAGGGTAATGGCACATCCGCCACCGCCTGCACCGGTCAGCTTTGTCCAGCCAATGTCGGCGTAATCGACAAGTTCACGAATACGTTCGAGGCGGGGGTGGGAGACGCCCAGGGAGACAAGGAAGCCGTGGTTTATACGGATCAGGGTTCCGAAATGGGCGAGGGTGGCCTCGGAGATGCCCTCGAAGCTAGGGTCCTCAATCAAACGTTGTGCAGAGCTCGTCACTTGATCGATGCCGTTAAGTATTGACTCCGTCACGATGGAGTGAGCGTCTCTTAGAGCTCCGACTTTGTCGACTTCTGTCTTTGTGGAACGCGCTTGTTGGGTGTCGACAAGTAGGAGAGGGAGTTCGGGGAAAGTAGGTAGCGAGACGACTGTTGGAGGTTTCGTGTAATCATCGCGTCGGAAAATCACAGCCTTGCCGCCTGCGGCCACTGTGTTATCTACCCCACTGGGATTGCCATGGATGCAGAGCTCGCCGACGAATGCCCAGCGGTTGATACGTTCGATCTGTGTCTCTGCCTCCTCCGGTGGCTGGTCTGGGTGGGGCCCGGCGAGGGTACGGATTTGAAGAAGCAGCGCAGAACTGAGACAGACGCAGACACTGGCACTGCTGCCTAGGCCGGCTCCGGTAGGGATGGTGGATCGAAGAGTGTAGATGGCGCCTGGGCTTTGCGGGGAGCCTAAGGAGAGGAAGAGATAGAGGAACGAGGATGCGGAGCGGATGTGAATATTGCGCTGCTCCTCTGGGAGGCCTTTAGAGACGCCCTGGAGGTGTGGTTCGATTGCCTCGACGAGTTCTGGGTCGAGTTCAGTGACAAGGCTGTAGTAAAACTTCTTTTTGGACGGCTCGTGGAACTTGTCCCAAGGTAGGGTGTCAATATCCCAAGTGTGACTAAGACCCAAGTCCCGGAAGTTCAGGGTTATCGTGCGCTGCGATTTGGAAAGGGTAGTGACAAGAAGGTAGGAGCGAAGAGAGATGGCTGCGGCCATGGCAGCCTTGCCGTGGACCACAGCGTGCTCGCCAAAGACGATAACCTTGCCCGGCGCGGACACCATGAAGGTAGGTGCCATGGGTGAAGAGGCCTTGCGAGTCATTATCGGGCGGTTTCGTTCCCCAGTAGCGGTTGCTTCGTGTGTTTCTGAGGCGGAGGAGACGGAGGCGCTGTCGGAGCTATCGTCCCGGACACAGTTTCCGTTCATACCCAAGGGGATGACTTTAACCGTGCTTTCGGGATGGAAATCGACTGTACGACGTGAAACGGGAATTGTGGCCCCCATACCGTTCAATGGGCGAGTGGCATTCTCAGTCATGACAGTGGAATTCGAGGGGCGAGAAAGGGGAAGTGATTAGGAATTAAAAGGATAGAAATAGAAGACAAGTCAACATAAGCAAAAGAAGAATGAGGGGGGGAGTAGAAGAATAGCCTAAGTTAGAGATAGCCCGAGTTATCTGGAGTAAGCAAATGGAGTCCAAAGTTGGGGGAGAAGTGATTGAAGCTACTGGGTATACCAGGGAACGAGAGAGAAACGGTCCAATCACAGCCACAACAATACCAATTGGTCATATTAGACCTAGTTAGGCTGACTAGTTAGCTAGTTAGTTAGCTGTTGGCCTATTTCGTACTTCGTTTCCCGTCTCGATTACTCGTTATGTCCCTTCGTCTTGGACAATTCTGCCTTTGCATATCCAAGTGCAGAGATTTTTGTGGCGTGCAGTAGCGCCGGGATCGTCTCTATGCCTTAATACATACTTCCAATCTAAGAAAATCTAATGTGCTATGTACAATGCTGTATTCATCACAAATTCATCGTCACGGTCATACTGTTACTATGCACCAGTAAACAAGGGGGCAGGCCGGTCCACAGAACATCCAGGTCACTCAAATAAGATGCACTGTCCTCGGCACTAAGCGAAGTCCCCTCCACGGGAGACGGCAGAGTCGTGAAAATAACGGCGGTATCACCACTCTGCTGGACCATCAACTCGTTCAGAATCAAATGCTGTGCTCGACTCGGGAGGTCATTGAAAGACAATGGAACCGACGCTACACCAGGGTATCCTGTTGCATGTGTATGTGAATTGCTGGGGGCACCGGGGGAGGGAGAAGACACGGGAGATGGGCGATGGGAGTAGATAGAGTCTAGCTTGTTTGCAGATCGTGGAGGTGAGCTTTGCGCCGCGAACATGATAGACGGTCCATTGCCGTCTTCGGCTTCGGTGTTCACTTTGGCTTCAGGGATAGGTGAGGAGCTGAACCGATTTCTGGAGGCAGAACGGCTGATGGGGGGCCGAGGACCCGGGGTATTGCTTTTCGGGGAGCCATCGTCGCCAGTCTCAATTATAGATGGGATTATCTGGTTGGATGGCGTTGCCTCTGCTTGAGGGCTCGCACTCACTGGTGTGCTCGGGGAGTCTGCGCTAGGGCTGCAATCATCGGTCTTGGACCGACCAAGGAGTCTTGAAGGGCCGGGAACAGGTACAGCCTCATTTCGAGCCCTGGCTATGTCCTCTCCGCCGTCTTCTGGCTCGCTGACATACGCTTCCAGATCGCTGTCGTCGCTCTCACTCGGGCTATCGGAGCTGTCGTAGTCGACGAACGCATCCAGCAAGCGATGCGTTTGCATGCCAAGGTTCACTCCGCCTAGAGCCCGGAAGCTGGAGACAGATCGTCTGCGACGAGTGGACTGAATCAGTTTCCTCAAGCCAGTCACCCGATGATACAAAGGTTTGGCTCCACTGTCTTGGCTCGATGATCCTTGCCAGGTATATGACTTATCAAGATGGAAACTGTCGCTGGTTCTATCCGAATCCTGCGGGTCCTGATCCAGCGCACGAGCTCGTAAGACCCTTTGCCACCAGTCCTCCCCCTGTAGAGCAGAATTAACCCTCTCTTGGGCATCAGCTGTAACCGAAGTGCCATTCACGATGGTTTGATAAGCCTGGAGATCACCGCAGGCAAGCCAGAAGACCAAGACTTCGGCTTCAATGCGTAATTTCTCAAGGAGGGCCTCAACTCGCGCTCTTTCATCTTCCAAATCGGTCTCGTACTCGACGAACACCGCAACTCGGATTTTGTATGTCTTCTTCCACGAGGGAACAGTGTTGAGAATACAACCCAGTTGAAGGATCAAAGTGTATGTGTCAAAATTAGTGGTCAGCACATTTTGCTTGCTTTCACTATCAGCCCCAAGCTCGGCGGACATTTGGATCGGCCACAAATCAATATACTTCTTAGTGTGACGACCGCGGGGGTCCGGTAGCTCCAGATCTTCGAATCCCTTAGCTACGGCAACATTGATCCGAAGCTTGAATAAGAGATCTTCGAGGATCGTGACATAACACTGCCCACTCATGGGCGGGTTTGCCGCCCCAGACTCGCTGGGCTCCTCGGTTCGCGTGCTCGAGTGGAGCGAATGGCGTCTAACCCTTGAATCTCTACGACCACTGGTATAGGTTTCAACAAGCGACTGGTCCGATCGGAATTGGTCAATCACAACGATGTTGGGCCTCATGCCGCCCAGTCCGGAATTCAAAACAATATTTCGCATACCCCATTCCGCAGCCGGGGAAATGGCAATGTTGACGAAGGCTTTGATCTTGGAATGCTCGACGAATTTTGTCCATGCTGTCTGTTGGCGACGTGCTTCGGGGACAGCTGCTGAAAAGTCATCGGTCACAAGAACATGGGCCAGCACAAACAAAGATCCTTTCTTCAACGAGTTGCAGAAGGAGACCATTTTGTATTGTCTGTCGAGGTCGCTGACAAAGAGCAGGATCTGAGGACGCCAGAACTTGACGTGCTCCTGACGCAGGCGAAGCAGGTATTTTCGCACTTGATGATAGATCAAACTTTGACTGACATCGCCCCAAGGCTTGGGTGGCGAGCTATAATGGATCAGCAAGAAGAGAATCACCAGGATGCCTACACATCCTGTAGCGTAGACACCGTCCACAAAAAACATGCTGATCCCACTGACGAGCGTTCCAGCCGCTGCAGTCTGCCAGTTGAAGTAGTGGAACGACGGACGAAAGTTGGGTGCAGAGCCAATTTTCAAGAGGAAACACGCGAGGTTCGTCACAAGGAAAGTCATCAAGTAGGTCATGGTAACAAAAGACGCGATGCGATTGATGTCGAAGAGCATTGTGATCTGAGCGAACACAAAGGTCACAATGATGGCATATACGGGATCGTCGGTTTTATGTGTGCCTTGGGCAAATATCCCTATACCAGGCAAGAGGCTATCTCGCGCAATAGCTTGAAGAAGTTTAGCTGATCCAATCACGCCCATCAGGGCAGAAAAGAAACTAGTTGCGAATTCACCGAGAAGAATCACACTATCAGAGGCATTCACCTACACTCAATTAGAGCGTGCTTGTAGTTATTCTCTCAAAAAAGAAGGACTTACGATTTGTATAACATTCACGTTATTATAAAAAGACTCCCGGGTCACCGAGGCCGCCATCGCAAGGATGACAAGCCCATATGCGACAAAAGTCAAAGCTAACCCAGAGAGCGTACCCTTAGGAATAGCCTTGCTCGGGTTCTTCAAATCACCAGACATACTTGCACCTCTGATGGCCAATTAGTGAAATGGGGCTGAAAGTCTGCTGTCGCCAACTTACGCAAAAATACCTCCTGTTGCAGGAAATAGAATGCCAAAAAGGTCTTGGAAGTTCTCTCGTCCTTTTATTTGGCTTCCCGCGGCTCCCTTGGTTAGATGGGGTTTGAGATTCCCCATCAGAGTTTTCAAACGAATTCCCGTGAATTCCACGCCCTGACGGGGGACTGGGAAAGGCTTCATGAAAACTGCTGAGAGCGGTATGCTGAAAGTTGCCACGAGTAGTATGACCAAAAGCCCGTTGCTTGCCCTCGCAAATATAGAACTTCCTGCCAAGCAAACCCCGGTGCAAAATACCAATATAATAGTTCCCCATAGGTACTGCCACCAAAAGCCTTCCTCCAGGAAGTTGGCCCAGTCCCCAGACTGCGCCCCAAAGTTCTGGGTAAAACAGTCCACTAAACCAACGGCATTCATGCCGGTATTGAACACATAGCCAAGATAGAATACAATGCCAATAGAGCCACCAAATTCGGGGCCCAGAGATCTAGAAATAAGGTAGTAGGCACCACCGCCTCGGACCGTTCCGTTTGTTGCAATTGCGGATAGAGACATCGTTGTCACAAGGTTGATTGTGTATGATATAAGTAGCAGCCCTTCGATGTATCAGCCGTGGGGTCCTGACTTTGCGAGAACCTATGCTCACCTAATATGCCCAAGACACCAGCTTGTCCCAGGATGAATCCGAACCGAAGGAACATAAGAATGCTCAGGACATTCAATGTCGTGGGAACAAAGACGCCAGAGAAAGTACCAAGCTTCTTCGGCTCATCCATCGATCGGGATCGATGTCCACTCTTGTCCTTCTTATCGGCGCGGGCGTCACGAAGGGAATCCGCAGACAGGTACACATTTTGTGAAGTGTTCTCTTCACCAGTCTCCTGCTCTTGATCGCCATCCCCTCGGTTATGCCACCACCGAGAAATTTTCTGGAAGTAATTCATGGGTGAGGAATGGCGTCGGCCCTCAATTGGTTCTGCCGAATTCACGGGCTCATACGGGCGGGCCCATGGAGTCGGTGACCAGGGTAGCAGTCGAGTACGTTCGTCGGAGTTAGCATGGTCCGAGTCCCCCGGGTCAAGACGTGAGACATCCTCTTGAGCAGTTCGAGTCGCGAAAGTTGGGCGTCGACGGGACAAGGAGTCGGAGGATTCTAAGGCTCGTTTCGCCATCTCAGTTGCAAAATTTATGGTATGAGCATGAGGACATAAACAACAAAATAATATAGATAACAGAAGCCAATAGTCCCAGCAAGACTATTGAGTCCGCAGAGACGGCGCTAATATTAAATGAACGAGAAGGAAAAACAAGCGGTATCAATAGATGACGTTGATAGGTGCAAACAGTTTCCAGTTTGCATCCCGTCAACCGCACTTAGGAGCTGATCGGCCACGGACTGCTTGGCGCTATTTTTGTGTCTCAAATCCTCCTCAGTTACATCCTAGCCTTTTCACTCGAATTCTTCTCCGAGGAGCTGACTGCACTATTGCTTTAAGCTTCCGGCCTTCTTTTCATGCGCATTTCCCAGGCCTAAACAAGGCATCCTGCTAGGAGCTAACTTGACCCTGAGGCCACCTTCAAAATGGCGGATAATGGCGAGGGTCCATCCCTAAATCCAGCTCGATCTGTGCCGATAGCCTCGTCCTCCGCGCGCTCGAGGTCCCCCGCACCTGAGTTCGGTAGCAGACAGGCTTCCATGGCACGCCTCGCATCCCCAGTGCCCTCTCCTTCATTAGGAACGTCCTTGTCATCACGACAGGGTATTCCGGCCAGCCGACCTGTTACAAACACCACCACCGAGCAGGAGTTTTCCAGATCGATTGCCAATCCATCCTCGATCCCCGGTCCTGGACATTCTATCCTTGCATCCCAACTCCAAGAAAGCCTCGGTCGTTCGCCGCCGAGATTTGGAACTCCGTCACGACACAACGGATCCCCTGCGGTGCATTCGACGTTAGATAACCGACCGTTGGCCTCTCAGTATGGCTCTTTCGATACTAAAAACGGAGTCGACTCGTCGAGCATAGCTCCGGTAGAAGACCCTGAAGTTATCAAGCGGCATCTGGTCACGGAACACACAGATAATCAGTCGGAAATTGCGACCAGCCTTGGTGGCGAAGATACTTTCTCGAGTCTGCAGCTTCAAGGTGGTGATATTACACGACAAGTTTACCGTTGGGCGGAGGATGCCGAAGCTGAAGCCGCAGGGCGATTCTTGCGCAGCAAGAGTTTCAGCGTCAGTCGACCAAGGCCGGAGACGGATACGGAAGACATTGACACAATTCGGGTACCAGGAGGGTTTCGCAGGGATTACCTACGAAGAGCAGCTGGAAGTCCACACCGCGGAGATGCCCACGGGTCAAACGTAGGGCCGCCCCATGGACACGGCGCACCTCAACTGCCGACTACCAGCTTCTTGGAGTTCTTGACTCTCTATGGACACTTTGCCGGAGAAGAATTGGAGGAAGATGATGAGGTACTAGGGCCGGATGAGTACTTTTCGTCTGATGCCTGGGACGAGCCAGATGATGGCAGAGAGTCTGGAGAAGACGCAGCGCTGTTGCCGCCTGAAACACCGGGTCGGAAGAAGAGAAAGCACAAGCAACGCTCACCGGTAGGGACAACTACCACAACAGGTGCAGTACTCTTGCTGCTCAAATCCTTTGTAGGTACCGGTATTTTGTTCCTACCTCGAGCCTTCCTGAATGGTGGTATGCTCTTTAGTAGCATGGTGCTTCTGGGAGTCTCGATTCTCAGCTATTATGCTTTCATTCTTTTGGTCAATACTCGCACGAAGATCGAAGGGTCCTTCGGTGACATCGGTGGCATTCTATACGGCAAGCACATGCGACGCATCATTCTCGGATCAATTGTCCTGAGTCAATTAGGCTTTGTGGCAGCGTACATTGTCTTCGTCTCGCAAAATTTGCAGGCATTCGTGCTAGCTGTGAGCAGGTGCGCAACGTTCATTGACATCAAGTACATGGTTTTGTTGCAGCTGGTCATCTTCCTGCCCCTGTCTTTGATTCGGGACATCAGCAAACTTGGGTTTACCGCCCTGATTGCTGATGTCTTCATTCTGTTGGGTCTCCTATATATCTACTACTACGATATCAGCACTCTGGTTGACCAGGGCGGCATCTCAGATATCGTTTCCTTCAATCCAACAACCTGGTCCATGTTCATCGGTACCGCCATCTTCACCTACGAAGGTATCGGTCTCATCATTCCGATTCAAGAATCAATGAAGCAGCCAAACAGGTTCCCTGGTGTCCTGGCCGGCGTCATGGTTCTCATTACCTTTATCTTCCTCTCTGCCGGTGCCCTGAGCTACGCGGCGTATGGATCGGCAACGAAAACCGTCATCCTTCTTAACCTCCCCCAGGATGACAAATTTGTCAACGTGGTCCAGTTCCTCTATTCACTTGCCATTCTGCTGAGCACTCCGTTGCAGCTCTTCCCTGCTATCCGCATTATGGAGAACGAGCTTTTCACCCGCAGTGGCAAGTACAACCCATATATCAAGTGGAAGAAGAACGGCTTCCGTTTCTTCCTGGTTATGGTCTGTGCCCTTATCGCCTGGTGTGGTGCGAATGATCTAGACAAGTTCGTTTCGCTAGTCGGAAGCTTTGCTTGTGTTCCATTGATCTACGTATACCCGGTATGTCTTATCATGTGTCCTCCTAATCACCACAGAACTGTATGACTGACTCAGTATATCGCTGTAGCCCCTCCTGCACCTACGCGCTTGTGCTGCCTCCAAGCGCCAGGCGGTTGCCGACGTAACTCTTGCTGTCTTCGGCGCCATATGCTGCGTCTATACGACGTACCTGACCCTCATGAGCTGGATGGGCCCTGACGTCCCTCAAAGCCCGGGATACTGTGACTCTCTTTGAAAAAAAATCTACATTCTATATCATGTAGAGCGTGGCGAGACAGGTTTTGTTGCATTCCTTTGTTCTGTCTCAACCCTAGACTGGCATGTCTATCATTGGGTTCTCATATGTTCCTTCAACGCATGGACGGAGGTCATACTAGGGACATTATTCACAGTCTCGGTCAAACTGTGAGTATAGTGGGCGCATTGGTGTCAGACTACCCTTTCTGTATACATACTTTCTTGGTTTTGGATACTATTTACTCTACCATATTTGTGGAGCTTCCTTTAGAAGTTCATCTGACCGGGAATAAATCAAGGATAGGACCCAGCCTATCACCGAATCCCGAAGTTGTCACGGAGTTCATCCTAAAAGGAATATGATTCGAGCGCAACAATATAGAGCCTATGTACAGTGATTGTCAGCAAACCGGAATTAGATTGCAGCCAGCGTCGATATCTAAGCGTCTCCCTTAAAACCGCAGGTCTTCCTCTATATTTCTCCTCTTTTATTATTGGCCGGGGCTCATCTGGTCTCATGACATAAACCCGCAGGCGATATTGGTAAGAAGATGCAATTCTGCGAACGAGACAGATGCTATAGCCCCAATACAAACTGAAAGGAAGCAAGCACAACCAATTCCTTCTCGGAGACGATTCTTAAGCACCAGCTTCGGCAGCTGCGCTGCCCTTAGCAGCCTGCTCGGCGAGCTGCTTTTCCCGGCCTCCAAACCTACAAAGTAGGACCAGGTTAGTAATCACGATTATAGATGCTTGTGGACGATGACAAAAGCCAAACAAGGTGTTGGGGGATGAAGCGTACTTCCAGTAGTTCAGATAACGGACTGCCTGAGTACCCTGGGCAGCGAAGTTGGTTACGTGGCATGCGAAGAGGAGGTAGTTCTTGGGGGTAACAGCGAGGGAGTAGCGCATGAAGGTGGCAGCGTAGACGACGAGGGCACCGGTCATGGGGCCGGAGATGCTGTGAAGATAGAGCTATCAGTACAGTTTCTCTGAGACTCAACAGCCAAGGATGAGATGGAAGATGAAAGGCGAAGCTCCCATTATTCATCGGATAAAAACGTACATCTCAGCGTCCTTCTGTGTGTCCATCACGGCGGCAATGGGGATACCGAAGTTGGAGACAGGGCCCCAGAAGTCTAGAGAGCATCATAGGTTGTCAGTAATTTGTGCAATTCATTTACACTTCATTTCTTTAGAAAATTGCAAGCTCGAAGGCCGAAAGCGTGTTTCTCCCATCCTCAACGTCGCTTTCAGTGCTCAGTCGGCGTTGGCCGACCTCGGGACGGCAATCGCGCCGAGAGAAACTGGGGTCAATAATACGTACGGGTTGAGCAGACATAGTCCAGCACCGAGTTAGAGCGGATCTTCGCGTTAATTGCCTTGATAGCAGCCGCCATTGTGAAATTGCTGAGAGTTATCACACAGGATTAGATTCGGAGAAGGAAACGTCGGTATCTAGAGGATGGGGAAGCCGACTCACCGGCTGTCGGTGTCGGCGATGTCACGTGCAGTACATTACATTATCATCTTTGTTGAAACTGATGTATTAATATATAAACTTTGATTGAATTTTAGTGGTTATGTATAATATGGTAGAATATGGTAGTCCGAAGCTCAATTTAAGACAAGTATCGGAGATATATATCGGATTGACCTCCACTTTGACCATCCAAAATCTATTTCCATGTTACGATCTAACTAAATCATAGAGAGGAAAAAGACAACTAGTTACTGTTAGATATAAAACGCCAGGCTGTCACATAGGCCTACATGGCCACTAGAGTGCAAGGAAGGCCCGGTACGGAGTATGTTGGGTAGTTTAGATAGCATATGATATAGAAGACACAGCATAATCGAGAGAGGAAGTGGAGATGAAGAATTGGGATATTAAACGGTTGAATTGAAGAGGCTCGTTTAAAAAGCTAGCACATTTTTTTTGACTTAATGCGTAATTCAAGAGGATTTTGGTCTTTTTTGTCCCGTTCCTCGACACGACCTCCATCCATGCGCCGCAACGCCTAACCCAGTAGAACTCAGGGTGATCTAGCCTGTCCGCGTATCGTTATCTCTCGCTGGAGGTGTTGACAATGGCTATTATTCTGCGCCGAGCCGCCCTTGTTTCTTTCGGGGTGAAATCAGATCGTCGATAATTTGAAGCATAGAATACTGCTTCGTGCATATTTCCAATTACCTGCCACCGAATCCAGGAGGGGGGTATCCGCGTCCCTGACCGGGAGGCTGGAAGCCAGGAGGAGGTTGGAAACCGGGAGCTATGAAAATGGAATATCAGTATGGGAGACGGGATGGGACAGTTATCTCTGCGCAAACTTACGAGGACCACCCTGAGGAGCAAATCCAGGAGGAGGCGCGAAACCAGCTAGGAAGAAACCAGTCAGTTTGAGTCTCAGTCAACCTAGGAAAATGGGAGTATTTACGAGGTCCACCGGGGGGGCCTCCACGTCCAGCGAATCCGGGAGGAGGGGCACCAGGGAAACCGCCAGGGGGAAATCCAAAGCCACCTGGGGGTGGGGGTCCACCAATGCCGGCTGCAGGGCCTCCGAGTCCGATAGGAAGGCCGCGGCCAGCGGGCTTGCTGATACCAGGGCCCGCGGCAAGAGTGGCAGCTGCGCCGGGTCCGGCGGTGCCAAGTCGGGCAGAGGGGTCGGCAGGCGGAGGACCTTCAACAGAGCAAGAGACGACTTGAGTACCGCGCACGATAGTCAGGCCGAGGCTTCGCTTCTCTTCCGCTTCGACCAGCGGGGCGTTTGTGGGACCGGCAGTGGGCTTAGATTTCCGCTTGATGCGACGGAATTCTTCTGTGTCGGCAAGAACAAGGTTCATGTGCTAGATAACGGAAAGATCAGCTGGGCGCCTCGGTTTCCAAAGCGAAGAGAAATACCTTATCAAAGGCAAGCATGGAACCAGTCATTTGACGTCCATCGTTCAATGTTACGCGCATCCGGTAGTTAATCTGGAGGAGTTAGATACTTCAATCGAGTACTGAAATTGATTTGGACCAGACTGACAAGGTTTTGCTAAATGAGAGAAGTTAGCGACAGCCATTGACCAAACGGGTTTCGGGGGTGCAAATGGGAATGAGAAACTCACCATCTTGTGGGAAGCCATGTTGGCTATAGAGCGCGCACGGATGCGACTTAGGAGACTGAGTAATAGAGATCAGTAGAAAGAGAAAGTTTTTCTACTGCGGCGGATGAAGCAAAAGTGCGAGATCCTCCCAAGGATGCGAAGCTCAAGCTTGTCAGGTGCTGCCAGTTCTTGATACTGGATTACCTAAAATATGAGTCAGCCCAGGTTCGCAATTTTAATGCCTCAGGCAGAATGCGGGTCAGAAATCTTAATGACTAAGCGCTTAAATTAGACTCATTACCTAAGCAGCAATCAGGGCTTCCAAATCACGTGTGGGAACCCACAGTCCACACTTTCTCTTTTTCCGCGATCACTTTTGTCTCCTCAGTCGACAACCACTTCACGCCCAACCGCCGTCATGGTACGTTCAGCTCCTTGCAATCCAAACCAAGCATTCCCAATAGAATGTATTGTTTTATGTCATTCCATTTGATATGGGCTGCAACCTGGACATTTTCGTCTTGCGCGCACCCAATCTTCAATTCCCTGAAATATCTATTCTTTGACTAGATATACCATCCACAAGTTGAGACTAACATGATGCAGTCCGCCCAAGTTGCTAAGGCCGAGAACCCCTGCCGATCCCTTCGCTTGTCGAAGTTGGTCCTGAACATCTCCGTCGGAGAGTCCGGTGATAGACTCACTCGTGCCGCCAAGGTTCTCGAGCAGCTGTCCGGTCAGACCCCCGTCTACAGCAAGGCCCGTTACACCGTCCGTACCTTCGGTATCCGCCGTAACGAAAAGATCTCCGTCCACGTCACCATCCGCGGCGCCAAGGCTGAGGAGATCCTCGAGCGTGGCCTCAAGGTCAAGGAGTACGAGCTCCGCAAGCGCAACTTCTCTGAGACCGGTAACTTTGGATTCGGTATCAGCGAGCACATCGATCTCGGTATCAAGTACGATCCCGGCATTGGTATCTACGGCATGGACTTCTTCGTCTGCATGTGAGTTTCTTACTGATCACCGGATTTGGAGGCAATTTATCTCGGATATTAACAAATAATTCCAGGGACCGCCCCGGTGCCCGTGTTGCCAAGCGCCGTCGCTGCCAGTCCAAGATCGGTGTCAACCACCGCATCACCACCTCCGAGACCATGAAGTGGTACAAGACCAAGTACGATGGAATTATCCGTTAAGTCTCAAAATCAGAGATAATGGCTGGGTAGGGCCTGTGAAGTACGAGGTACTCGACAAGAACCAAAAAATTATCCCGAGTACTCGAGGAAACAAAATTTGTGGACGGGCACCCCACTGCCAGTCGGCGGGCCCCTTTGATCTCTGCATCCAACAATGGTCTTGATTTTGTACTCCGGCAACCAGGATAGGCGTGGGAGAGACATGAATTGATTATTACCTTTTTACTGCTGCTTTTCCCTTTTCACAATGAGGCTTCACGAGAGGTGATGTTTTCCGCATAACCATTGTTGAATTGGATGGCGGACGCTGGGTTTCGACCTAGTGTCTAGCCAAGACTCGCTTGAGAATGCCTCATAGGCTTCGTCAAAGAGTCGGTCTCTTTTCTAGCGAGAATTTTCTCGTGGTGGATTGAGTACCTTGTTCTGGCCTATCTTGTCTGTCCTTATCCTATCCTCGTAGGTGCAATTTGCCTGGCATAGAAGTAAATCAACCAGTCGTAGCTTGTAGAGTGACAATATGGTCCTCCGATCTGTCGGGAATGCCGACATAGGACTGTCCACGCTTATACAATCATACTTTGTGGCCGCTTCGACAACAGCCTTTTCTACAGGGTGGTCTGGCCTATCCTCGACCATAAATTGGGCCATAATGGCGCGAACTGGCCATCTCGCCATATATTTTGTTATGTGTATCAACCGAACCTGCTAATTTCGACAACCTAGGCAATTAACATGTCCCGCTGGTCGATTCCCGCGTCTTTTAAGTCCGGTCCACGTACGACTTGCCGAGTAGCTCGTCTCTTCAATGAACATCAGTCAATTATGAGGCTTTTATAGAAATACAAGAAGCCACTAGAATTTATCTTTTGTATGGATGCCCATGTACAAACATTGAGTAAAGCCCGTATATCGTGACCATAATGTTGAATGTTAGGAATATATCTTGATTCTAAGAGTTTAGTAACTAGTTACCTAGCCAGTCAATTATTTATTTGTTTGGAAGAAAACCTTTTGATTACTATCCTAGGGTTGAAAATTGCCACTACTGTTATTTTAAACATCGATTATCTGTAAATAACCCGTCTGGAGCATATACAATCAAGGACCATGTATGGTATACTAGCTTTATTTCCTCTCCAAGTAACACTGTGTGGTTGAGGTATAAGTACAAAAGGTACATTCTAGTTTACGTGTTTCACGTTGGACCATGCGAAGAGCCAGGTATAGTGTCATTTCATTCTCTCTTATTGTTCTTTTGTTGTCCTTGACGTAAATGATAATGTAAAGTATCCAGGGAAGACATAGAATATAGTAGGTGTAAGCCTATATATTGCACTTCCCAGCATGGCGAAAGGACCAGAAATCACCACCACTAAGACTGAATTTACAATTTTTTATCCACCATCTCAATATTCTCGCTACTCAACTCATGTTTATCTTCACCTGCTTCCAGATCCATGGTTTTGGCATCGGCAGCCTCATCAACTCCAGCCACAACACTTTCGAACCGGCGACCACGTTTCTCAGGACCAATAGCAGTAGTGATCATGATACCGAGAGCAATGATGGCAGTTGCCACTGCCATCACAGGCCCATAGGCCTCAACACGATGGCCTGTTGTACTAGTAATAAAGGTAGACTCGGAGACTGCGTTTATAATCTGCGAAGATGGCGAGGAAATCATATTTCCAATCTGGTATGTCAGACCCGTGAACGAAGAGCGGAACGCTGGGGGAGATAGTTCGGCTAGATGAACGGGAATGACGCCCCATGCTCCCTGAATGAAGAATTGCATGAAGAATCCTGTCACACTCAGAGACCTCTCGCCTTCTGGGAGGATCCATGCCGGGATGAGGACTCCAGATGCCAAGGCGGCGACGATGATTGCTCGGCGACGACCAAAGAACTGGGATAGGTAGCCGATGATGGTTCCGCCCACACAGGCTCCTGTCTTCATCAGAATAGAAGCCCGTGAGGCGCCTTCGTTATCAAGCTCCTTTGCAGTGAGCATGAATGTGGTGTACGAATCTTGGGATGTGTGGGAATAGAAATTGAACTAACGCGGGACAAATTAGACAAATGCTGATAGGAGCCGGAATAGCGGTTATGACATACCCAGGTCATGAGAATGACACAGTAGATGCACATGCGCCACTCCTTGCCCAACATGCTTACTGTTTCACGCCAAAACTCGCCTGCATTCATTGTTCGCTTGCCGGATTTCCTGGCTTCGATGAAGGACTGCGACTCGGGGAAGCAGATGCGAATGAGGCCAATTGCAATTGAGATACCGGCTGCACAGGAATGATTGTTAGTGACAGGTAAACAGTATTCGATGGAATAGTAGACTGACCTGCAATCCAGAATACGGTCTTCCAAGTATCTGTTCCACCGCCAACACCAAGGTTGGCACATGCTGCAAATACATATCCTAGTGAATACCCTTGTTGAAGGATTCCAGACATAAGACCTCTTGCGTTGACACTGGTTCACAAGATGATCAGCAAAAGTCACTCAGCCCTGGATGATAATACTCACGGGCAATGTTCCAAAGCCATCGAAATAGCATTTCCGTAAACGCCACCCATGAAAAGACCAAAGAGACTTCGCACAGCCAAGAACTGCTGGAAGGTCTTACTATAAATGGTGGCGATTTGCAAGATTCCCAGAATAATCATATTGAGCACCATGGGCCATTTACGACCATATTTGTCACCTGCCAGTCCAAAGAATGCAGCTCCTATACTTCGCAGCAGCAGAGTCAGAGTAATGGCAGTCGTAATATCTGTTTTGGACTTGTCGTAGTATTTCGCCAGCTTTACTGTCTGGATGGAGAGGGCATGGAAGTCAAATGCATCAGCAGTCCAGGCAGCGAGTCCCACCAGAAAGAACACCCAGTCTCGAGCCGAAAGCTGCGCCATCAGACTGAAGGGGTTCTTGATAGGCTCTGGGGATTGCCATTCTGCGTATGACTCTCCGTGTTCGTTGGTCACCTCGACACGTTGCTTCCAGATGAAGAGATCTCCGATGGACTGACGTGCTGTGGCGAGCATACCATCAGGAATGGGGTCTGCCCTTTCATTGGAAGATGCCATTATGGCGATCTATCAAGAGAAGGAGACGAGAAAAAAAGAACGAAAGGTCAGAAGACAGAAGAAGCAGGCAAGTCAAGCTGACCAATAGAAAAACCAGATCACTTTGAACAAAGCGGACTGACTAGAAAATTTGGTAGTAGACTTTGTGGGATTCTTCTGGAAAATCTGTGGCATATCCCTTTCAATTTATATGTCGGCGCTCGCCATTTTATAGGTACACACCGCGTTGTCCCCCGCATCTCCATCCCGCATTTCCCCCGTGTCGGAAAATAACAAATGCCGCTGCACCCCAGGATGCCCGAGTTTCGGACTGATAAAATGCCACTCCGCTGGTGAGCCAAGCGGATGCCAAGGGCTTGGAAGCACCGTGCCTCCAATGCCAGGACAGGACATGAGCAACAGACCGCACCACACACTTTACGGCTGGCTTGGCGTGGAGATGAACTTGACCAGAGGTCGTTCCGGACTTGGCTCTGCCCACATAGACAAGCACCAGTAAGCCGCGTGGCGCTGTGCGCGTGGTCATTGATCGGTTACGCCGAGAACCTTGAGTGAAAAATGGGCCGATAGGAATTCCAGTGCCTCCGGTTTGGTCTTTAATGTCAGTTTACGGCGAAGGGCATCGGAATATAGCTTCCTTCGGGGCTCTAGTGGGCTCTAGTGGGCTATTAGCAGTCGGTTATATTGTCTTGGTCTGGGGAAGTGTGTTGGGGGCCCACTAAAGCTGGTGTAATAGTTAGCTCACTTCATATGTAGTTTTTTTCATCTTCAAAAATCAGAACAAATAAATCTGTAACGCATACTGAACGTACAGATTGAGGAAGGACTAAAGGGACATAAGCGCTGCTCACACGTGATAACTTCCGAAGAATCGAGGCGCAATGGTAATACTGGTTAGATGGCAGGATCCGCTAGAGTGGAACTAGTTAGTTAAATGGGCCAATCAATCCCTAATCCTGAATCTCCTGAGTTCGAAAGTCTTGGCTTTAGCCGCGAGAGGCTACAACTTGCTGAGCTTGGTCAAGGGTAAAATGGGCTGGACATGCACATCCCTTGCGTTCAGGGTCCATGGTTTAAGGGCCAGCTTATATTTTCATGTAGGCGTCCACAGCTTGCATTTGGAGAAATTGGGTCCCCTTAGAATTAGTGATATATGTTCAGAGGGTACGGAGTACTATTTGACTTGAAAACTCAGAGAACGTGGCCAGGCGGGTGAGTGGTAAGAGGCTAGAGCCACCTACGTGTTGGTAAACATTGTGAAGGCGGTCAGTTACTAACATAGGTAGAGATATGAACTTGAGCTGACAGCATACACTCTCAGGTTAATTTGACAAACGAGATATCAATGAGTTTGCTACCTAACTTTCACTTTGCTCTCTCTTTCTTTTTCTTTCCTACCTACAAACACTGCATCTGAAAGAGACGATCCAGTAAGCCCCCGTGTCACGTGATCATCCATAAGCGACACCTCAGCAACGACGGCAGCGGCCTCCTGAGGTCACTTCCGCATCTACCAGATCTCTACCCCCCTCCTCCTCTCTTCATACATCTTCTTCTTCTTTTCCTATTTCGTGCTCCCGATAATCGCATTTCATCACCCTTTTTCATCATACTTCAATTCTTTTGCCTTTGCGTGGCGTTTCATTCAGCGGACTAGGTCGTACTGCGGCCTACGTAAATATGGCACCTCTCCCTATCAAGTTCACAGAGCTGGTCAATGTACGTGCCTACCCCTCATCTCTATCCTATAACTATTGAAGCTTTGAAGCTGACCTGCGCCTGAATTGTACAGCTGACCTCTGTCGGCATTGCGGTATGTACAACCAACCATGATCTTCGTCGAGCTTTGAGACGGATGCACCGGCCGCGCATCGCAATATTCCTGGATATGTTAGGATTGCTACT